AAGGCTCCTTTGGTCTGAGGCAAGCCTATATAGTGGTGTTACAACCTAAATAAAGTGAAGCACGTATCCTTGGCTGCACGTCCAATGTGTAATAAATTCTACTCCATGTAGTAGCTGCATTTTGAATTGAATGATACAAGCTGCTGAATACTACAGCAAGGCCAAGCATGCTCCTCCAGCTTAACAGTACCAGAAGTGCCTGCCAACAAGGGGTAACACTTATATTTTGGTGATCTATGCTAAAAAACAAACAAACAAACAAACAAAACATTGCTAGCAGCCCCTGTAAATTAGCCAGATTAAGATGACAAAACTCAGGGCATTTCAAATGAGTTTAGATACTAGCACCAAATTTAATTAAGTGGAATTAAGACTTTGGGTATAATTTTTGCATGACAAGTAGGAGGCTGAGTTTTATTTGCAGGTAATGCAGACAGAAATGGAATTTAATGGCTTGCAGTAATCCTGCTGCACAGGCAGCATCTGCAGGGAGGGCCACTGCCGTTCTGCATTCAGGGAGATGAATAAAGCAAGAACACAAGGACTGTGGAGTTGCCCTGATCCCTCACCCGGCTATTAAGCCAGCCAGTGCAGACATCATGCCATCCACTACCACTCTTCCCGTAAGGATTCTGGCATAACATTTTTACCGTGACTTCTTTCTCCTACAGCTTCCCATCAGGTGATGCCAAAAAAGCATGGAAAATGTGTATGCATGCCCAGTCATGTAACTATAATTAGCCTCAGGAGCAATGGTTCTTCTAAGAGCTCTAACCACAGCCTGCAGCTATCAAGCATTATCAGACTTTCAGAGATTATTTGTTTCTTTCAGCTAATGATGTAATCAGAATTAGTTTCCAACAAGTCTCCTATTGCCACAGTTTGAAATACTCTGTGGGTGTCTGAAGGGAACTAGAACAGCAGAAGCAGTTTTACTCTGTTAGTAACTAGAAGTGCAAACCAGGCTCTTCCCAGGCAGCTGCCGATGCTGCTCCAGTGGGTACAGGATTCAACTGGCTGCTTGAATCAAAGGAGATGCTGTGAATGCAAAAATCTTGTTTTAATTTTCAATCACAGCACTGAATTTTCTGTCACTGCTCTTCCTTCTCTTAAGATCTTTGACAAGTATTACTTCAATTTTAAAAGAAAAAATAACACCGATACAAAAAACGCTTTAAAAAAGGGAGAACATAAAATGTCATACAGAGAAAAGATTTTACCAAAGTGAAATATTTCTCCCTATTCCCTTTTCTCCCATTTAAAAGAAATTGGATAAAGATTTAAACAGCACTATTTCGTTAAAACATTCCTGAGTAAGAGGGAAACAAATTTATCATCCATTCCTTGCATACAGTTATTCTTATTTATTTCAGCTACATCAGATCTCTATATTGTATTTCTCCTTCTTTCTTGTTACATTACAAATAAACACAGAGGCAAGCTGAGCTTTCCTCTCTCTCATGCATTATTAGGGTTTTCTAGCTGTCAGAGCAGCAGGAGAACTGACAGGGTCTGAAAGAATTTAATGGAGCAGTTGCTTTATGGCAGCTGAGGACTAGGCTGATTGAGCTAAGGAGCTGGTTCCACTAAGCCAAAATCAGCATCCCAAAGGAGAGCCTGGGTCTTGCAGTAGGATGTCAGATATGCTGTCTGCTGCAGGTAACAGTCACAGCAGTGAACGGGGATTAAATGGGGTTGGGGATATACTAATAACCAGAGTACAACAGTGGATACCTCAGGATATGCTAATATCTGGGTTGTTATCAAACACATCGAAATGTCCCCACACTGCTGCATCCTCAGTGCTGTTGCTTCAGCATGAGCACACGCTCCTGTGCTACAGTCCTGTCTTGGTTTTGCCAGGTAGTGTTGCCTTTTGCTCTGGTTGCATGATGTTTAGCATTAGTAGCCAGAAAGAACTCCCTTCAGCTGCAGATTAATCTTGTAGAGCTGGCAGGTAGAAAACATTAATTTCATTCTGAAATTTAGCAGATATGGTACAGAAGTCACTGAGATTATGAGTAAATGGGATATTAGAGTCATATGTACAGACACTGTAAAATGTTAGGGTAAAATGCAAGCTGTTTAAAGTAAGAGCTACGTTACATCACTGCTATGATAATTTCCCCTCTCTTACATGACATCAGAAGAAAATTCTCAGGTGGCAGACTTGATTCAGTAGTGAAAACCCTTTTCTTATTTAAGAATATCTGATAGTGGATTTAATCAAATACAACTGGGACAAGCAGGCTTTGAAAGAACTATAATAAGAAAATGACTGGCTTTCCAAGAAGGACAAAGGAGGCCCGAGCCAGGAGCTTGGAACAACCTGATAATACGACGTGCAGATGACAAGATGACGTTCCAGTCTTTCCAGAAACGATGACTCAAACAAGAATACAGAAGGGCAAACCATAGGCTGTGGTCATTTCAGATGGGTGATAGCACAATCGTCAGGAAGGGCACTTACTGTGCCTGCAGTCAGGTGGTGTGCGTTCAGCTCCGGGCTCTGTCACTGTCCTCCTACATGACCTTGGGCAAGGCACTTCAATAGTAACTGCAACAGTAAGCACTACTGCCTTTCTCTCCCATCTTTAGATTTTAGCAACAATTGACGAAGGAAAGTACAGCTTAAGCATCTTAGGAACCTGCCATTACTTTGTAATAACTTGCTGCAGCAATAATCCTGCTGCACAGTGACCATGGTTTATGAGGAACTCAGAAAAGAAGAACTTATTTCTACTCCAGCGTCCTCTGAAATAACATCATACAGTTGTTCAGCTACAAGGTAGAATTTATCCAGCTCTTCATTCATCAGAGAATGTGACATCATATTGAAAGAGAAAATTGCCTTTATATATATATATATATATATATATAATTGCCTATATACATATGTCACTGAGGAAGGTCACGCTTTGGAAATGCATAATGCATAATACAGTGTCTCTTCACACAGCCTACAGACAATATTTTTCTGTAGAGAGTTTAAGGTCAAATTCTATCCAAAGTTTTGCTTTTCAACTCCTGTAAAGCTTAAAAGTGTTTGTTAGCCTTCGTTAAAATTTGCCTCATCAGCACAGATGAAAAGAAAGCAAGAACTAAAGGGAAAAGGCTGTGCTAGGATAGAAGGGAGGGCAGGACTGAAATTAAATGACTATTTGTTGTAAATACAGCCTAGATTCACTTCTCCAGAAGACGCAAGAAAGACCCTATAACCTTGTTACCGAAACACCTTGCAATTGTTTAACATATTTACCATGTACTGTATTTACATGATTGCATGATAAAGAACGACCTTATTTACAAAAGAGTGCCATGCAGAGGACCGAGGCTGCCCCCCGAGAGCACCAGGCTGGTGCCCTCACCCCGTGACCTGTCTGCTGTGACATTCCTCCTACAGCACAGATACGCAGCGTGTCTCCTCCAAGAGCCATTATGCCAGCCACTGTCCCAGCAGCACAGAAGGTCTCCCCAGGTCTGCCTTCCTACGCAGGGCCTGGCACGCAGACCTGTGCTGACTCTCAGCTGCCATCTCACCTCTCTGCTAGCAGATAATTTACGAGTGCTATGGTACAGTTCACCCGAGCAGATCCTGGCTCGGGGCCACCCCGCAATAGCAGTTCACTGGTGATGGTGTTGGGAACAATAAAGGGAAAAAGAAAAAAAAAAAATCAAGCTGTTCTGTTTAAAATAACTCACTTTTTCCATTGCATTTATTTATGCAATTTGATTTTATAGGTTTCCCTTTGCATACAAGGATGCCAAACTGGGGAGGTGGAGCCAAATGCGGTGCCTGCGAGAAGACAGTGTACCACGCTGAGGAAATTCAGTGCAATGGAAGGAGTTTTCACAAGACGTGCTTCCTCTGCAGTAAGCTGGGCTACACTCTTTTAACTTCACACTATTTTCATAGCTCTGTAGAGATCATCCCTAGTAATTTATTTCGTATTAACTTGCATCCAAGCAGAAACACAATAAAGAAGCTTCATATTTGGCCTAACTCAACATGTTTGCCCATGGAACACCTACAGCAGGTCATAAACAGCACAACCAACACACAGGACAGTAGCCACAGCCAGTGTCAGACTCAATTCCACACAGGGAAACTTTTGTAAGGCTTATTCATCTTAGTTCTGAGAAAACTCAAAGGAGAGAGCAGTCACGAACTAATCCTGCTACTTCAAGCACAGCACAGCGAGGCTCACTCTGGAATGACTCCCTAGAAACCTAAGGATCCCATGGGGCCAAAGAAAATATTCCTACCATAAGCAGCTGCACCTTGCACATACTGCGTGCAACACTGGAGAGGGGAACGAGACGAGTGAGCAAAGCCTTGAGCACATTTGTTCAACCCCAGCACGTTTTGATTAAACCTCTGTAGAAAGTCAGTTTTGAGTTGAAGAATCCTTGTCTGTAAGGATGATTAATTAGTTTAGTTCCAGAGAATAATCCACTAAAGATGTAAACTGGTTCCCCCACCACTTTTTTTTTTTTTTTTTTTTAAATCAACTGAAGGATAGTAAATGATTGCAATTTTTCAGAACCAGCAGTCAACTTTCTGAAAGACCAGTTTGCTACTCCACATCAGCTCTCAATCATCAAGTTTCAATTTTCTAAGCCTTTGCCACTGGGCAATGTCTCTCTCAGGATCTTGACTTCTCTTTTATGAAGCATGATGGTTTTTGTTAGGGATGTTAGAGCACTGCAGAAATATGGTATCTAGGTAAATCTTGAAGAAATCCTACTCTGTCCCACAGTGTAGCATATTACGGGTTTCAAGTTTGAAAGTCTAGAGGAACTAAACGAAGAGTGCTCTTGAGACAGAAGTATGTCTTACTAGGATATTATAGTAGATGAGTATTTTTATAATTAATCCTAAAAAAAATGCACACAGAAAAGATGAAAGATTATCTCTTGCATCAAAATCTCCCACCAACACCCTGCAAGTACTTCAGTGTTCTCCTTCCCCATATTTCCTACAGTCCCATTTCACTCACTGTTTTCCCCAGGCATCTTCGATGTTCAGCAGATAGCTTTCTCTACAGATGAGTTAGCACCTGAAAAATGAGAGAGAACGTATCACTCCACCTCTGTTTGCCCTTTGTGAAGAGAGAAAACAATTTGATAAGAGCTAAAGATAGCTAAATAATGTATTTTGCAGACAATTGAGATTTAGGACCTTTGAGCTATGAAGTTTAGCACACTTGATAGTACCGAATTTATTTTTTTACCCTCCTTTCCTGGATAGGTTGAAAATTTTTCCTTTTCATAAATGAGAAAGCTTTTACATGCTTAGATGACACTGCAGCACTGTACGGGACCAGTTCAAAGGACATACATGAGTCTTGTTTGCCCTTCTCCCCGTCCCCTGCAAGTGATGCCTAAAGACTAAGAAAGAATTCCCTCAAAACATGTTGTAGTTAATTGACTGCCTCCAGCCAATTCTTACAGATGGTAAAAATCTTAGTTTGGTAAAAACTAGAGACTGCTTATTGCTTCCATGTGCTGCCTGTAACAATTAGTATTATAGATCACAGAAGCTACAGGGAGAGAAGCATGGATGTGTTAATTATGATAAAATATTTAATTGACACTTATGCTTTAGTCAATGCTAGAAAGCGATATGCAAAGAGAAGTCAATTGAATAGACTCTCCAGTGTCTAATAAAAATAAAAAGCTCTCATTAACTGTGACACAACAGGATATTTTTCTCATATGTGCATTCTCAGACACCTAATATTGAAACATACATGATTGAAGTTTAAGCTTCAATCTTAGCACAGCTGATTTTTTTTAAACGACTCATGATAAACAACAAGCATTCATTAAGTCTGCTGTTTGTATTTTTTTTGGTCTATTGTACTCATAAGTATGAACTAAATTATTGATAGGTTAGATACTAAAAAAAGGATTCCCAGCAGAAGTATGTCTAAGGTCAAAAATTAAAGATGCAGCTAAGCCCAGCTGGCATGTGAGAGGTATGTTAATTGGCTTTATGTTTCCCATGATTCACATACGCTAGCTTTGGACCAGATAATTCAATATCTTGTATCATGTTCGTGGACTTCTCAATGAATCAGTAAAAGGATTTCATTTCTCAAGACAAGAAAAGACAAGAAAAACTCTTCTCTGTACCCATTCTTGGGTACAAAAAACAATTTAAATCAACTTAGTTGAGCTTTTATTATATCTGACCTGGCACATGAAAAACACGAGTATTTTTGGATCACAAAGTTAAATTTGGGCAAAATTACAGGCAATTCAAACCAACCTGTTAAGACAGTAAGAATGAGATATGTGGAACTATAAAATAACGGTATCTGTACTCCATAGTTTTTCCCTACAGACAGTTTTTAAAGCTTCTTTCCAACAAACCTTTCTCCTTGCACAGATTGCTGTTTACGTACCTTGTTTCCCTGTCAGGTTTTGCTTAAAACACAGCTGTGACGGACATTTGGCAGGATCTCTCGCCATAAACCTGAAACTTCTTAGTGCCAGCTTGCAAACAGTATCTGTTAGCAGATGACAGGTCTCAAAGTTATTTCAACAATAGCACTTCAAGGGCTTTTGCTCCATCTGTTGTGGCGGATTGATACTCTATCCCTACAGAGCCAGAAATAGAAACACTTTATCTACTGCTAGAGTTTCCATCATCCCTTAACTCCTGCAGCTAACATAATTATAATCCCGAAGCAGAAGAGACTGCGGCACAAAGTGATCAAGTTCACACATTTACAGAAGCCCCTCATTTTATTTCTGTTAATTAAACAAGTCCTTGCAAATTATTTTCCCATCTACACACTACAGTGATGGAAACAAAGCTCTAATGTTACCTTAAATCCTTATATTCCGACTTGAATGAATTTGAGAAAAAACTCACAGCAGGACAGTTAAATGTAGGGAGAAAAAAAGGACTAATCAAACACTCAGCTTTACTAGAGGCTTGATCTTTCATCCATTTTAAATACTTGTGCAATTGACATATTTGTGTTACTTATATGAGCTAAGCAACTGTTTTCCAAGCTATCAATGGGACACACATGACTGGAGAGCCCTTTGTGGTATGTGCACCTGGTCAAAGGAAGTTGAAGAGAACATTATTTCCCTTCACTCCCTCCCCCCAGTAACTACTGTGGGCACACTGAACGATTTGTAACAAGTGTTTTGTTTTGTTTTTAGAATTATACTACAAAATCCATTTTTTTTTTTATGGGCATTCATAACTGAAAGCTTCATCCTCTCTTGATGGGGTGGGGACTGTCTCACACTGAGTTTCCAAACCAGCGTGGCATACACAGTCACCAAGCACATGAAGACTGCCACAACTATTTTTTTTTACTTTCATTATTGTCCAGGTTTCCGTGCATATAAAGTAAGGAGATTCATGCTGGCCTGGTAACAGGGTTTGGTCATAAAAAGATGACCAGATTTCAGATCAGCAAAGCACCCCATAGAACTCAGATTTATCTACCTTACCTTTCATGTACATTTGCTGTGAGAAAGCATGCACAAGACTGAACTTAGCTATGTTTGTTGGCTCAAGATGTGGACTGTGTTTCTCAAAACATAGATACTTGTCTACTGAGACCTCAAATAAGCAGCTGTTAGCACTCATTAACTTTGATCCTTTCAACTACAGGCTAGATTTAAAGTAGTGACATAGAGAGTATAACTTGCATTCCATTATGCATGTGGTGCTCCTGGGGCATCTTCTGTCCAAAAGTCTCCAAGACCTTTTCTGGTGAGCTAAGCCATGCGGTATTTCTCCATAACAAATACGACTAGCAGGAGGTCCTTGTGGTCTCAGAAACTGCATCATCGTATTCTTGTCATCCTGGAAGAAGTTGAACAGAGTTGAGAAAATCAGGTATTTGGAATCACTGCTTCCTCTGGCACTACAGCCCCAAAATGATATAAACAAAGAAAAAAAGTAAAAAATAAGTTAAATACATACATACATACATATATATATATATATATTTTTTTTTTTCCTGCTTGATTCTGACTGGACAGTGCAAGTATGTTACATTCTCTTTTTAAAACTTGCCAGCCTAAAATATGACAGGTTGGCATGAGAAAGCCACTCCAGATTCAGGGGAACTATACGGAAAGGTGTGGATGCACAGTAGAATCGACACCCCTACAACCTCTCCCTTGTTTTTAGGGTTTGGGAGGATTACTTCAGATCCATCTTCGGCCTCACAGATCTAGAAAAATTGTCTTGACAAGCCCAAGATTTTTCTGGGGTTAGAGTGTAACTGGAGAGCACAAACATTGTGTACGTGAACAATTACATCAGCAACAGCCCAGTGAAGCTTTTTATTGACTATGCACTAACCCCCTTCTGTATTTTTTGAAGATGAACAAAAATAGACACTAACTGTAATTATTCTGAACCACACTAATACAACTTTGAATACGCAAATGTTTATCTGTGCCTCTCTTTTCCCGTTTTTAGTGGCTTGCAGAAAAGCTCTGGACAGCACCACAGTAGCAGCTCACGAATCTGAAATCTACTGCAAAACTTGCTATGGAAGAAAATATGGTCCCAAAGGCGTTGGCTTTGGACAAGGGGCAGGATGTCTCAGCACTGACACTGGGGATCACCTAGGCTTGAATCTGCAACAGTGAGTTAAATCCCACTGACAGCACTGTCTGTTTTTCTGATACCACTTGTCACTTAGTGGGGCATATATGGTATAGAGGGATATTTTATTCTCTTCCTAAAACAACACACAGTATGAGTGGCTGAACAGAACTTCCTACAACCTTTTCTTCAGTGGACACAGCAGTGTACCATTTATTAATAATTTCTAGTCTCTGTAAGCTCTCTTCATGAATTTCCTCCTCCTTCAATTGGCAGCAGCAGCCTTTTTATGCCACAACAAACTTACGCTGCAATCACTGCAATTGTAATTTGCCATGAGTAGCACTGTGATAAAGATCACATTCACCGTAGAACATGAGAATTTTCTTTATCTTATCAGAGTCTAAGATACAGTTAAGTTTTACTGTTAGACAAATAATCACAATACCACATACTGTTACTCCTCTCAATACAGAAATAATGTTTCTAAACCCTCCCTGTGGCTTGAACAATACTTGCAAGCACACGGAGAACATGACTGAATGAAGGGATTCCCATAGGATAGCATCTTTAAAAAGCCTCAACTCAACATAATTATTTCTGACAGTACATTTTTAAACTATTTTCCTACAATTCTCAAAGCTGCGCATTTCAAAGTAAAAAATGTTGTCTTCTGCTATTACTATAAGGGAACTCATTAACAAATATGCTAGGCAGGTAATAACAGCTCAAATAACTTATTTAACTGTACTCCCAAGTAAGATATACATCCACTGTGGACAGAGTTCAGCATCCAGAACTGTTATGTCCTGTAGATTTAGTGACCTGTTGCAGTCCAACAACCTGATAATTCACAAGTAGTTCTGTCAATGACTTTAAGCAAGCACAAGGGCATAAAGCACAAAGTCCAGAAATATAAAGCAAAGCTATTTTTCTGATGCTTTTGACCCCAGGTCACCTAAGATCCACGGTTCCTTGTCAAAATGTTGCAGTGAATAAAAATGAAACAATGTAAAAGAGCATGCAAAATCAAGTTGTTTTTTTTCGTTAGTTTGTTTTTCAAGATCTGCTCACTGAGTACTAGCAGGTAGCCAGTTACAAGAAGTGGGGGTCCTTTGCTGAGAGGCAGAAAGAGAAAAAGAAGCAAAAAGAAAATTTATTTTTTACTTCCACTTTTCATTAAATGTGGCTACCGTTAGCTCCATTTGCTCAGTCCAGTACAGGAAATATCAGTGGCTACGGTATCAGCTTTTCAACTATGCAGTACAACAGAAGGTCTTTTCCAACCTAAGTGATTCTGTGATTCTACAATTCCAGTTTCTTTTTTTCCCCCCCTTTTGCATGTCCTAGACCACTAATTTAGTATTTTCCCCCTTACAAAAACAAACCATACAAACAAAAAACAAACACCACAACCTCAAATTTCTAAAATGAAGATAGCATTTTAAGCAGTATTTTAAAAACACTGAAAACTTCTGTTATAGGGGGTCACCCAAGCCTGCTCGCCCTTCTACACCAACTAATCCTTCAAAGTTTGCCAAAAAGATTGTCGATGTGGATAAATGTCCCCGCTGTGGCAAGTCAGTGTACGCTGCAGAGAAGATAATGGGAGGAGGAAAAGTAAGTAGTTACTAAAATACTAGGAAAAAAGCTTTTCAAATGGAGATAGACTATAGCTAATCATTCCCTGAAGTTTTTACTCAGTCTTGATGAAGAAAATATGAAGATGATTTCTTCATATTCATAAGAAGATGATAACAAATTGGTAGAGTCTGATATATCGCCTATCAGGTTTAAAGTCATGTGCTCCTGCATAAGCCTGAACTTTCTTGTTGATGTCTGTGAAACAACCCTTCCTTTTTGACTGCTGTACAGGCTGCCTCCTCTGCGACCATCATCCCACTAACATCTCTTGGAATAGTTCTAATTTAAACATTTATTTGTAGTGGCAAATGCAGATGTATTAAAGATTATATTAAAAAGACTTATTTTCTTTGACTAAAAAAAGGAAAGCCAGCATCCCGTGACATGCTGACCCTCTGCTCTGAACTCTCGCTAGAATATTACCTCTGCACACAAAGGGAGAGGCCACTATGAGAGAGCACTATCTAAGGCTCTCTGCATTTTACTAGAGCTCTATTAACAAGCAAGTTGCTAGGTAAGTTGTTAAATAATAATGGGATAATAAAGTGAGATAATTTTAAAAAAAAAATCTAGAAGGACAAGAAGTGGAAGCCTTAACAGCAAGAAGACAGTTTTAGGCAAAAGCAACAGTTAGTTGTTTCTTGCATCTGCTAGCTGTGCATTTGCTGTAACACACAATGAATTGTTTTCATTTCCTCAGCCTTGGCATAAGACATGCTTCCGCTGTGCTATTTGTGGCAAGAGTTTAGAATCTACCAATGTTACAGACAAAGATGGAGAGCTCTACTGTAAAGGTAAGGATTGCAATGACCTCAACTGAGTTATTGAGTCAACGTAAGATTATTCCTTTTAGACCTAGTATTGCCATCAAGATTTACTGCTGCATGTTTAACAACTACGTGAATTTTCATTTTATTTTCACAACTTTCCAAAAACAAAGAAAGAACTGTGGCAACATTTCAGTTGCATCTTCTAGTACGAACATTTCAATTTTAAATCTGTAATTTTTCTACAAATACAACATCCTCTCTGATCTATTCTCAGACCTCCTAACAGGAACACTGGCTATACCTGCTGGGCAAATTTTTGTACCTACACAATCTCACTCACTCCTAAAAAAAAATAAATAACTAAAATCACAAATACACAGATAGATCTTTGAAAGTCATGATCTCAATTGGAATTCTTGCCAGGAGGAATTAAAAGATACTTCTGTTATATTGGTTGTAGAGAAGAAAATGTGTTCATGCTAAATTATATATCCAGATATTCTTCTCAGATCAACAAACCTTGCAGATTTCGCTGAACTATGCAAAAAAGAACAAAGTATGCCAGGTTTTCATATCCTACGCTAAACTCTACACTCTACAGAGAGTCCTAAAAAATACTTAAGTTGGGCACAGTCTGACAACAGCACGTAGTCAAATAGGCATATTTTGAGAAAAATGCTGACCATTATTACTTAAACAGAATTGTGATAAACGAACATGCATACACCTAGCAATACCCAGTTAACATGGCATTGCTTAAACTTCCATCGAAGCTGGCTGGACTATGTTCTAGTTCTTTTAACCTCCTTTGAAAATCTCTGATGGTCTGGATGGATGGGAAGGCAGCTTTAAAGAAAGCATTACCTAAATCTTGGATACACACTGTTTCTGACTTTTTTGGAGAAGCTCAGATGCGACACTTCTGTTTAAGTCAAATGTGTTTCACTATTAGACTCGACACTATTGAGAAAGATATTCACATTTCCTTCTTTTTATCAACTTGTATTTGGAACTAGTACTAAAGACACAAGTCCTTTACCTCGACATGAAAACATTTCAAATATTATTTACCCTCCTCCTTCTTTTGCAGTTTGCTACGCAAAAAATTTTGGTCCCAAAGGAATTGGTTTTGGTGGCCTCACTCAAGCGGAAAAGAAAGAATGCGAATGAGAAGTGGATGCAACAGATTCTGCTGTTGATGTCAGCAGATAACAGTTGTCAAGTAAAATAAAAACATCACATATTGCTAATAAACTAGGGCATTTGTTTAATATCCTCCACCTTGCAGAAAAAGCTTGCAAACTTGTATCTTAAGAAATTCTTAGAATAGCCTAAAAAAAATTACAGTGATGAAGTTAGATTTACTTTTAGAGCAAATAAGGACATAAACTTCTGTTCAAGGAATATTATTGCTTCTTAAACTACTATTTACCACATTTTAGACTGAACTTTGAAAGATTCAGCATACTGTCCCATTAAGACAGAGATATCTTATGGATCACACAGTGGTAAAGGTCAGAGTGTTCTGACTTAGGCCAGTTTCCTAGTGGTGTTTTGAACATTTTGATGTTATTTGTATTATGGCAAAGTAGATGTTACTCACTTTGAGACAATTAAAAAGTACCTAGAATTCTCTCTCAAAGGGAGCTATTTCTCCAGAAATAGCAAGTTTTCTCAGAGTACAGCGTTGTCAGTTTTGTTATTGTATGTTTTCAAGCTACAATAAAGTACTCATATTGCTTCACATTTTTTATTTCAATTTGCTTGTGCTTTACGTTCCAAAATGTCACAGATTAATGCATTTCACTGAGATGAATTAAACCCTCTATTTCATAACTGCAAGAATTCTCTCATCACTTTGCTTTAGTCTACATTGTCAGTTCCAGACAGTATTTAACTTTCATTTTCTGATCTTGATCTGTTTCTCTGCTAGTTTTCATTAGTGTTTTGACCTCTATTCAAACACGCTCCAAGAAAGCCAAAGTACCCACAGATAAAATATTTATGCTGATAACTGTACAGCATGAATTCCTTTTTTTTTTTTTTTTCCATGCTGGGAAGAAAAAAAACACATTGTAATGGGCTAGCTGGAGAACTAAGACACTTCATGAAATATTCCTTATTCGTGTATAACAAACTAATTTAACATACCTCTTAAATCTGTCTAATCCTACCTCAATTCTTGAAAAGCAGGTACTGAACTCCCAAAGCAGCAGAGAGAAACAGATTTCATATGAGCCTCTACATCCAGATATCAATATATGCAGATGTCAGAACACAACAATTTTTAGGAAGAGTTCCAAAACTCATGATAGGATAGAAAAACACTTAAAAATAACAAAAATGCTCAGAAGGCATTTGAGTTTTGCAGGAAAGTTTTCAGTGATGGTGATGAACGTCACAGGTTTTTGAGTGGTAAAGACAGTAGTCAGAAAATATATAAGAATTTG